GGGTCTTGCTCTTGTTCAGGCTGGTCTCGAACTCCTGACCTTGAGGGATCCTCCCGCCTCGGCCTCCCAGAGTGCTAGGATTACAGGCGTGAGCCATTGCGCCCGGCCTTCTCATTCAACTTTGACTGTCATTTTTCTGAATGTCTTTTTTAGCTTTTGTTTTAACTAGTGGTTCTTGAATTTTGTTACGATTCTAGAGCCAATTTACTGTCAGCAATTTCTAAAACACCTGTAAATACCATGTGGCTGAAGAGCCACTTGCAGCTTTACAGCTTGTCTGTGAATCGTTGTTTTAAAATGATAGCTGTCAGTTTGGTGTATTTTGGATTTCGAATGATGAAAAATCAAATTTAGAGCATCAGAATCTAAACTATGTAAGTAAACATCTGAAATTTTCTGTAGATGTGATTGAAACTTCCGTGGAAAAAGATACAATAATATTTAGGCTAACTGGCTCATTTAGGAAATGAAGAAGTTCCAATTTAAGTAATTTTTTGGTGAGGTCACGGTTATAACCCATTTATGTGGAAACTTCAGATTTATGAACTCTCTTGGAAGTTTGGTGAAGAAGACCACCCCCTATGGTTTAACCAGTACTTTGAACAAGAAAAGGTCTTATAAACATTGCAGTGAGTTTAGCAAAGCACTGTAAAGTGAGGAACCTTTCTCCAAAAGTTCCCGGGGCGGAGAGCAGCTTTAGAATTTCCTAAGGAACGCCAAACGTTTCCAGAGCATCCTAGGTCAGAGATGTGAGCAGGCTAGCACAAAGGGAAAAGTGTGCTAGAAAGACCTTGCCAAAGAAAGTAAGTTTAAGAAAGAAATAAGAAAAATGAAAATAAAATGTTGCCCTGGATCGGTCACCTGACAGAACATCTGGATTTGAGACTTGGTCATCTTAAGTTTCTATAGGCTAAAAGCTACGGAAGTTCTTAGGAAATTAGGTAAGTGGGTAAAATATTTTTAGTTAACCTAACTGGATATTTCTACAAATTCTTTATGCAAATGGTCTTTGAGTGGGGTTTAGTCATTGAGAATGTTTGCAGTTATTCTGAGACTCTGTGGTGGGTACATAGATTTATTGCATTAGTCCTTGTTACCTTTTATGTCCTAAATACACCTAGTACATTTTTAAAAATACATTTGCCATAAATTATGACTATCCTTGCTATTTCAGAAAGGCAGTTTGGGGTTGCAGAGCTATTCTTATGAACAGTGTCTTTCTGTCTCACTTTCTATTTCTGCTTGTGCCAGCAGTTTCTAAAATGCTAATTGCATTGGAGTCTGGGTACTATTTAGCCAAAACGATTCTATCGCTTGCTTGCTTATTTGGTGAGAGAGAGTATACTTGCCTAATGTGCAGTCTTTCTTCATATTTCAGTCTGATAGTGGAGGAGCCTTTAAAGGTTTTAAAGGTTTGGTTGTACCTTCTGGAGGAGGAGGGTTTTCTGCATTTGGTAGTAGCACTGGAGGGAAGCCTCTAGAAGGACTGTCAAATGGAAACAGCACAACTATCACCCCTCCCTTCACCAGTGCAAAGGTGGCAACAGAGACCAAGGCAGCCTTTGGTAAGTAGGTTCCCCTCTCCCACTCACATCTATTTAAGTGTAATCTAGGAAAAATAACTTTGCAAAGAGGTTTTTCTTGAACCTACCCCCTGAGTCCTGGGACTGTGTGAGCAAGAACAGGGTAATAATGAAAAGGATGGAACTTGAGGGGGATGTTGGCTGTCACAGAGTGAGTGAGTAGAGCACAGGCTTTTGAGCCGAAAGAGACCTAGGTTTTGTTCTCAGCGCTGCCAATTACCAGTTGTGTGACAGTGGTGAAATTCCTTAACCTCTCAGCCTCAGAATCTTCACCTGTGAAAGAGACTGACCCTCAGAATTGACCTGAAAGTCAGAGGAGAAAAGGGAGCACTGCGTAGACCCTCCGTGAAGGCTTCTCTTCCTGCCCACTCACTGATTATGCGTGTACCAAGGGCTTTCTGTGCGCCTTACACAAAAATGCCTGCCAGGGACTCAGATGACATTGTCCCTGGTCAAGGGCCTTCCAGGCTAGCTTTGTTCTGGCACAGGATGTGTTGATTGCCTGATCCTGGATTGCAGGAGTTAGTCAGAAGCTCTTGGAATTAGCAACAGAGAATGGGATCATGGATTAAAATCTTGGAAATGATCCTGACTGGTTGGACGGTATTTAGCTCATTATTCAAAAAGTGTATATTATTGGATTTTAATTCGGCAGAGTGTTTAATGTGGTTTAAAATAAGCATTTTCTGTTAAGGTTTTAATTATAGTTGTCTCTCGGTATCCTTAGGGACTGGTTCCAGGACCCTTTCCAATGCTCGGTTCCTGCAGTTGGCCCAGCAGAACCCCCAGATAGGAGAAGTCAGCATTCTGTATCCACTGGTTATGCGTCCCATCAACGCTGTGTTTTAGATCTGCAGTTGATTGAATCTACAGATCAGGAACCTGCAGATAGGGAGGTTGACTGTACTTTGATACTGTTCATCCCAACAACTTTGGGTATTAAGTCTTATGCTTAACCTAATACTCTGACAGTTCTGTTTGAAATAGTTATCTTTTTGAAGGAAAAGATTATTTCTTGAACACAGACTTCTTGAGCTATCACAAAAATAGGATACAATAAAAGCAGAAAATAGGAAGACAGTGATATAAAAATCTAGACGGTTTAATCAAATCATCTTCTGTAAATAAATTCTTCAATCTTTAATTTCCTATAGGTTCTATTGCTGCAAATGGCCCTACCACCTTGGTTGATAAAAAGATTTCAAATCCCAAAACTAATGGCGACAGTCAGCAGCCTTCCTCCTCTGGCCTTGCTTCTAGCAAAGCCTGTGCCAGCAACACCTATAACAAGCAGTTGGCTGCCTTGAACTTCTCTGTCCGGGACTGGATAGTGAAGCACGTGAATGCAAACCCACTCTGTGACCTGACACCCATCTTTAAAGACTATGAGAAATATTTAGCAAACATTGAACAGCAACATGGAAACAGTGACAGTAATAATTCTCAAAGTGAAACTAACAAGACGTTGCTTGAAATGCAATCTCCTTCCCTATGTGGTTCAACAAAATTACAGCAAGAGTCAGCATTTTTGTTCCCTGACAACAAAGCTGAAGATACATCTGAAAAGAAGACTGAGGTTGTGTCTGAAAAGAAAATGGACCCATCACTAGGAGCAACAAGTGCCTCATTTAATTTTGGCAAGAAAATTGATAGCTCTGTTTTGGGCTCACTAAGCTCTGGCCCCCTGGCTGGATTTTCATTTTCCTCTGGAAACACCAGTTTGTTTGGCAAAGATACTACCCAGAGTAAACCAGTTTCTTTACCACTTTCCACTAAAACACTGGAGAGCCAAGCAGAAAGTGGCAGTAATGAATGCAAAGGTAAATATTGTTCTAGATTTGTGTAAGTTTTGTATGTAGTGGGAAAAGCTAGACTTGATTTGGGCTGGATCTGGATTTGCGTCGTGACTCCATCATTCCCTCAGTGGTGATCCAGGATGAAGTGATTAGCTTCTCTGAGCCTCAGTTTCCTTATTTGTAAAATGGAATAAGACCTATTTCGTGGGGTTGTTACAAGAATTAATATTAAACATAAAATGAAGAATATGGAAATATCTGACAGGGGTTTTTTTTGAAAAATATCAAACACATGGCTTTGATACATTAAAAGTAGCAAATTAAAACCATTTTTTGAGATCGAGTGGGCGCAGTGGTAGTGGCCCATGCCTTTAATCCCAGCACTCTGGGAGGCTGAGGCAGGAGGATTGCTTGAGGCGTAGAGATCAAGACCAGCCTGGGCAAGATAGAAAGACCCCATCTCTTAAAAAAAAAAAAAAAAAGTTAGCCAGGCGTGGTAGGGCGTGCTTGTAGTCCCAGCTACTCGGGAGGCTGAGGCAGGAGGGTCACTTGAGTCCAGGAGTTGGAGGCTGCAGTGAGTTATGATGACACCACTGCACTCCAGCCTGGGCAACAGTGAGACTCTAAAAAAAATAAAATAAAAATAATTTTTTTGAAAATTGTGTTTTAGGAAAGATCATTATGAATGTCCCCTGAATTGATTTATATTTAGGGGATTTGGTTATAAATAAAGTCATGTGGCCAAACAATATTTGACTATAAATTTAAAAGACTTTTCATAGCCATAAGGAACAGTGTTTCCCCTATGGGTCTGGTGTACCACCTTTCCAGGAGGACAGCAGTGGTGTCTTGAGTGACATGTCTGCCATATGTATTGTCAGTGGCCCAAGCCAGGCGAAACATCTGGGCCTCAGTCCCAGCCCCTCCACTCCCTTCGTTCTTGGCTCTAAGAAGTGGGGTGATGTTACAAGGCCTCTTCCTCTTGTGGTGGTTGTGAACAAATGATGTCTGTAAAGACACCTACTTGGAAGCAGGTAACAGTGCACTGCTCAAGAATTAACCTTACTGAGCCTCAGGAAAGACAACTGCAGTTTGTCCGTTTGCCACTGAAATACTCTGTTTTTCTACCTGGAGCTAGACGTCCCTTACTGTTCTATCTTGCCCCACCTTCAGGTCTGTCCTCTGGCTAGGGCCCTCAAGGGCAAAGGGTAGGATAAGAGTATTCCCTTTTATTTCTTCTCTGCCTCCCCAAGATTAGACATATGGAGTCTTCCGTGATCCTAAGGCTGTCACAGGACACAGTGACATTGCATTTGAATTGAGCCCCAATGGATGTAGGATGCCTCTCAGCAAACACCTACTGTTTATCTCAAGGTTACCACATTTCATGCATCAGAAAGACGTGGGAGTTTGTTAAAATAACCAGTGTCTGGGCCCACCCTGGAGAGCCTAACTCGTGAATCCTGGGAGCTTCATTTTTTTAAATCTCCTGAGGACATTCCAGGGCACATTGGCCTTAATACGGCACCATCTTACAATTTAAATGTGACCTAATTGGTTGAATACCAGAATTGTTTTTCTTAAACAGAAGTGCTATTTATGCTGCTTTCTCTTTAAGAGGATCCCTTATATTTGCATTTAAATAGTGGCCTAGGTCTCCCCCTTGTTTGGGCACTGCAGAGGGTCAGTGGGCTACCTCTGGTTTCAGAGCTGTGAGCTATGTGGCAACTCATAACAAAGCTTTTAAGTTATTTACACCTGACTTTGGGATGATTTCTCTTAACAGCTTGCCCTACAAAAAACATTTATTTTTTCCCATCTTTGGGCATTGCTGATATCGGTTATTCCTTGAGATGTTGTGGATATGGTCACGGGAACATTTGGAGATAAAGGTATTAGAAGCCCTTCTGAGGTTTAATTTTCCAGTGGGTAATCTGAATATAAATAATTGGGTGTTGAATGATTATTTTTCTGTAAATGTCATAAGTAAGGACATTTTTTCATTCTAGGGCTTTCTATAAATTGGAAGTTTAGAATTGAAAAATAAGTTCCCATCAAAAATTTGTTTTTCACAAAATAATTAAAATCCAGCAGATATTTCCCTCACCCCCACCCCCCAAAATTAGATGTGCATTTTTAGTCTCTGTATCCACTGACGTGGAATGTTCAGGTTGAGGTTTAGGATGGTAGGTAACGAACTTCGATCACTTTTTCAAGCTCTTGATTTGAATCTTACTGAGTTGGTGTCATTTTTGTATAAGGTGAAGATGAAGAAGAGAATGAGGAACCACCCAAAGTAGTAGTTACTGAAGTAAAAGAAGAAGATGCTTTTTACTCCAAAAAGTAAGTAGTAATCCCTGAAATGGATGCTGCTGGCCTGGAGAATGTGGGCTTAGCGTTGTCCTCGTGGAACTTTACTGAGCATCCAGTCCTGGGGCCGAGCCGTGCCTGCTCTGAAATGGAACAGGAAGAATTCTTGCCCTGCTTACTTAAAAACCAGTTCTAGAAATTCCTGCTTGGTGTATCTTAGTCTTTTCTGTGATTTTAGCTTTTTAAAAGTGCTTTAGAGACAGGCTTTTCTGTGATTTTCCTGACCTCATCTTATAGTTCTCTCCTTTCTTTTTCTCCTTCTCTTCCCTCATCCTTCCCACACAAAGAAAATCTCCTAGTTGCTGATTTCAGGTTTTGTTGTACTTCTCTTAATCTGGGAGCATCTCTGACCCCTTCCGAGAGACCTGGTTGGCCTTTCTAGATTTTCTCACAACCAAAAAGTTATACACAGTAACCATCCCTTCCTGCTAAGGATGTATAAAAACTATATTTCCTCCAGTAACGAGAGCTTTTGTTTTGTATTTGTTTTTAAATGAGAACTGCTTCTTTCAGAAGAAAGGGCAAAGGAAAACTTGAATTATCTTTCTCTCTATTAAAGGAGGTTACTTTTTACAAAGATATTTAGTGAAAAATATCTGTGCCATTTCAGAAGCTTTCAGGATACTTCTTCAATATAAAAATTTCATTCAGAATAATGAGTCAGCAGTTTTGAATATAACAAGTTGCTACATCCTGTGGTATTCCCAGGTGCTATTTTATTTTTGAGAACTTTTCGAAGAGGCCAACAGGCCGGGATGGTGGCTCATGCCTGTAATCCTGGCACTCTGGGAGGGCGAGGCGGGAGGATCACTTGAGCTCGGGAGTTTGAGACCAGCCTGAGCAAGAGCAAGACCCCGTCTCTGTTAAAAATAAAAAAATAAGCCGGGCGTGGTGGCGAGCGTCTGTAGTCCCAGCTACTTGGGAGGCTGAGGCAAGACATCACTTGAGCCCAGGAGTTTGAGGTTGCTGTGAGCTAGGTCGACGCCACCACATTCTAGCCCAGGTGACAGAGCGAGACTCTGTCTCAAAGAAATAAATAAATAAAAGAGGCCAGCAATTCCTTTTGCTTGTTTTTAAATTGAATGACTTAGATGATAAAAAGGAGTGACTCTGACTTGGCGAGTTTTTTTTTTTCTAGTTAAATCAGATGAGCAGTGGTTTTGTGTTATTAATAACCTAAGATATAGCATGGGAGGCTGGGAAGACATTTAATTACTTTAGCTTTAGTTAGGCCCTGCCCAAGAATGTTTTCCAAATTTATTTCAACATCTTGGGCAATCAAAAATTGAAGGAGCCTTTAGGAGAATTTTTAAAATAAGAAATAGGGAAAAAAATTGAGGTGGCGGAGGTACAGGACGAGTGTTTACCCTGTATTTGTTCCTGACCTCAGAGGAGCAGAGCAGGGAAGGAGAGATGTTCAGCTGTGATTTTTGACTCACTCAAGAAAACACTGTTTCAGAAAGTGTTATAAAAGGTTTCATAGAGCCAACTGTTTAATTTGAAAAAATGGGGAGGGATTCTAGAATGTATACGCAGATTTTCTTATTGTGCTTTTTGCCCAGACCCAGTCAATTTGGATGAATAAAAGATTTATCCTGAAGCTTCCTGTGTTCTCATTTAATGCAAATTTTCCACACAAGTGTGAGAGTAGTTAGGAAACTGTGTGACTTGGTTTGTGCTTGAATGCCTGATCATACCTGTTATCTTTTGCCATAGGTGTAAACTATTTTACAAGAAAGACAATGAATTTAAAGAGAAAGGTGTAGGTACCCTGCATTTAAAACCTACAGCGAACCAGAAGACACAGCTTTTGGTGCGGGCAGACACCAGTTTAGGTGGGTACCTTTTTTCAAGTGGCACAAGGTGACCATAATCACATCATACATAAAAGCCTTTATCTTATCTTGCTGACTCAGTCATTGAGATTTTCAAGTTTATTAATGTGTATTTTGGAATAGAACAGAGATCATCCAGGCCGGATTCATCGTATATTTACTGATTATAGATTTAGTTTCGAGTACCAGGATAATAGTAAGAAAATGTAGATGTGTTAAAAGCTATAACCAAAATGTTTTTCATTTTCTTTTGTAATAAAAATGTGACTAAGAAGCTTTAGATTAATTAGATGGTTTAACAAATATCCGAGGATAATTAACCATTTAAAGGAATCCTTTTTTATTTTTTATTAGCCAGTCAAATTTAGCAGTGAGGGGTTGTGTACCAACTTTAGTGACACTAATGTTAGTAAGTTCTGATAACCCACCACCATCACACCGGCCTAAAGGAATCCTTTTTTATATAGCAAGCAATCACTAAGGTATTGCTGTCCAACCCGACCCCACCCCCAGTTTTGCCCGTAAGACAGTCCAGTGAAAGGAGACTAGTAGCCGGAGGATGAGGAGGGCGGGCCTAAGATGAAGTGGTCAGTGGTGGTGGACTGCGGCAGGCTGTGTTGCAGAAAGAAGCTCCTGGGAGATGTGTTTTTCCCCCATGGGCTTCACTAATCTGTAATAATATCACGGTGAAGTTACTCTTTCCCAATGAGCTGTGCTTGCCTCTGTGACAGAGGTTCAGTGTTTGTGTGACAGTGAGGACTCTGGGCTGCACCAGTGTGTTCTCTCTTCGGTGCAAGAACGGTGTGCAGGCCGGGCGCGGTGGCTCACGCCTGTAATCCTAGCACTCTGGGAGGCCGAGGCAGGTGGATCGCTCAAGGTCAGGAGTTCAAGACCAGCCTGAGCAAGAGCGAGACCCGTCTCTACTAAAAATAGAAAGAAATTATCTGGACAACTAAAAATATATATATAGAAAAACTTAGCCGGGCATGGTGGCGCGTGCCTGTAGTCCCAGCTTCTCGGGAGGCTGAGGCAGGAGGATCGCTTGAGCCCAGGAGTGTGAGGTTGCTGTGAGCTAGGCTGACACCCCAGCACTCTAGCCCGGGCAACAGAGCCAGACTCTGTCTCAAAAAAAAAAAAAAGAACAGTGTGCAGAGGGCTGGCGGTTCTGAGGGGGCTGCATGAGGGCAGGAGGAAGGGCAGAGGTCTCACAGTCCTCCGTCAGGGACACTGCTGGCGTCCGTTGGGGAACAGTGCCTGATTTTGTGATATTCCTGATGGCTCCCAATTTTAGATCCATTAAGCATAAGTTGCTTCAATATTTTATGTTTAGCGTATTGTAGACTCCTTTCATGGCGCTAGAGTTCATATAACCTTGATGTATTTTTTCCTTTGTGTAAATGCAGGCAACATATTGCTGAATGTTCTGATTCCACCCAATATGCCATGTACCCGAACAGGGAAAAATAACGTCCTTATTGTCTGTGTTCCAAATCCACCTGTCGATGAGAAGAATGCTGCTACCCCGGTCACCATGTTAATTCGGGTAAAAACTAGCGAGGATGCAGATGAGTTGCACAAAATTTTACTGGAGAAAAAAGATGCCTGAACACGTGAGATCAACGAGAAATTGTTGCCAAGTTGCTGCTTCCCCCACCGCCCCTTAAACTCAGTCAGTTTTTCTTCTCTTTGACATTCTAAGAACTTATAGATAACTTAAAACTTTTGTGAGGAAGATTAATATGGCCAATAAAACCTTTAAATAGTAAGTGTCAAGAAACTGTATTCTCCCTTCTTAAGAACTGTCTAATGTGTAAAATACATTTCAGTGAAATTTTTGGAAGATTTTTTAAAGTTCATTTGTTTATTAAACTAACCATAAGTGATTTCTTAAAGGACTGAAATCAGGGTATCGATTAGCTTTCCCAAAGGCTCTTGCGACCCACGGCTGTTCTGGTCTGTTGCCGCCGCAGGCGAGGCTTTCCGATGGCCACGTTCAAGCTGCGTCCAGAGAGAAACTTGCCTGGATGGTTCTTAACCTCTCCTGTGGGCTTGACTGATTTGCGAGACGAGCACTCTTAACCAAATGAACCGTGCTGCCGTGCTGTGACAGACGTGTGTGCGTTTTGCTTTGTTAAGTTTTATTTTTAAGCTGAGATGTGAGTACGAGATGTTCACCTTCGGCATTAGAGTCACGAGTCTATTGTTCGCAGACATTGGCCTTTACCCCTGTGGGCTGCTTTAGTATAATTCAGGAACTGCTTTTTCATTTGGAAAGGAAATGAATAGCTTGTTGAGGAGTTGCTTAGTTTTGTAGATTTGGGTTTGTAGTTTTATTCATGAGGTGCTGTTACTTCTTTATCCCCATAAAGACAAAATTAAGATAGAGGGGGGCTTGCCAGGAATGGGTTTTAAAAGCACAAATTTGGTAGCTTACCATTTTTAGACCATGGACAGTAAACCCATAAAAGAAACTTGAGTCAAAGTGAAACCATATTAGAAAAGGAAGATAATGATGCTTATGGTCCTTTGTACCATGATGGCGTATAGAAAAGCTGCCTGTTAAGTACATAGGAATTTTGATTACACACGAGCCATGTGAATTCACTAGGAAACGTGTAATAAGGTGATGGAAGAGAAAATTGAGTGTGTAAATTTTGCTTTTAACTTTAGACAGCAGTATATTATACATTTGATATCTGCAATATCCATTTACTTTTTTACAAGTAAGATATTCGGTATGTCCATTTGGAAGGGAGCCTGGTTATGCACAAGGATATCCCTGTCACTTCTCCAGAGCTGTCAGGTGACGACCGCTAGCATTCTTTGAAGACTCTGGGCACATGAATCAGATGCAGAATTTAATGTTTAAATTTCTACTTTCATTTCTCATGAATCATCTGAAACTGGTAACTAGCTTATCTTACTTAAAGGCTCAGGTTCGGGGCCCAAGGGCTCAGCCTTGCATATTCTGATCTTCGGTGCATGAGGTGTTCTGACTTAGAGGAGCAGTCAGAATAATTGTGGATGGTACAGTTGCTTTTTTAAAACTACAACCTTTAGGTGTAAAATGGGGGTCAGTTTTATGGTCAAATATGGTTAACTCTTCAGTACATGGGTGTGGTATTTGGGCCAGCGTTTATCGTGAGATTCTTGTTCTACTTTCATTTTTTTGGTTCCAGTGAGAATTTGGCCCAGTGTAAATACATGCAGAGAGAGGTGTGCTTGCACTGCTGTGGGATGTGGTCAAACTTTTAGCTATACTATGCGACCTAGGGAGGAAGTGATAATTATTTTCATATTTACTTTTTAGAATTGAGAACGTTTGTGAGTTTTTGTTACAGATGATTTATAGTAAACATGTGGTTGTACCCAATTCACATCAGGTTTATCCAACTTTTAAAAAGATGAAGAGGAAATAAGGGGAACAAATTCCAGTACATTGCAGCGTAGCCACACACGCTCCCGGGGTGCCAGCTTGGAATCGTAAACTCCAGGCGTCTTTAGGAACACTTCAGCGTTGATGCAGTATTTTGTTATTGTCTGCATGTGTAATGGAATGTTTACAAAAAATGGCATGAAAAGATCATGATTGGATTACCTTTTAGCTGCCCTTCCCATAAAAATAGTTTATATATTTTTAAATTAGTGGATATGTGTGGCTTTCTTTTTTTCTAACATTCCCAGCAAATTTTGCTGCTAAGACTATCACTGTTAAAGTGAAAATTACAGGGAAAAATGTGATGTGTATACCATAACTCAAAATGTGATATTTTCTTAAAATCACTCTTTTGTGCTTTAGGAACTTGTTGGTCTCCATTTTAATTATGTATTAGTATAAAAGAACCTAAGTATATGTGGATTTTATTGTAAAATCTAACCCCTGGAGGGCTTACCTATTTTTCCCCACTGTGTTAACAGCTAATTCTGACCTGTGGGTTATTTTAGTTTGATTTGTTTTTAACAAAATATTAGAAATTAGGCTTAAAAATGTTTAATGTGGACTGAAATTTTCATCTTTAGTTTGAGAATCCATAAATTGTATCATATATGTGGCCTAAAGTAAGGTGTGTATTTTTTTTGTTAATTCTAAAATTGCTTTGCATCTTGACAAATAACTAAGTATCCCAGTGGCCTTTTTTTTAAACTGATGTATCCATCCATCTCATCCTTTCGTGCATTCCCAGTAAGCAAAAAATTTGTTGTGCCGTCTTCATTATTAGAATTACAGACTAAAATCATGTCCAGTTTTTAAAGTTTAGGTTGTGTTTTCCATGGAAGGACAAGTCTGGCCATTCAGGGACTGATTGTTCTTTAAGAGGATTGTTCTGTTTTACAGTTTCAATTCTAAATCACATTTTAATATGCTGCATGCCAAAAAGTGTCTACCTCTTCTGGGTAGAGGAAAAAAAACTAATATGCTACCTTACTGTTCGAGTTCAAATCAAGTTTTCACTGAGAGAGTCTTTTTGGTAAAGTTAAACAAGTCGTTTGTTTTTGAGCATTTGTCATTTATTCTGATATTTCAGAAGACTTAAAATGCAGGCGTGATGGTTTGAAGGCTTTGCAAACTCCCAAACCCAGGTCTTCTCATTCGGGAGGTGGGGACTAACTGATCTGTCCTGTGGGGTGTGCAGATGATAGTGGGAAGCTCACCCAAACTGGCCTCTTCCAATGCAGCGTTCTGAACACAGGGCCACTGTACATTCTTGGCCAGTAGCAATCACAGTTAAAGACTAAGGACTCTCTGTTTGATGCAGACACAACTGTAAAACTTAGCAATCAAATGGATAAATTGTTTGTTTTTATTTTAAGTAAGAAGTTGTTTTCTAAAACTAAAATACTTGAATCGTCGGACAATATAATCTCAGTTTGTATCAGATTTTGAATGCTCCCACTGAGAAAATGTAACAATCCATGAAATGTGAATAAATGGAAAGTAAACAAAATCACGGTGTTTGGCAATTTTATGTTCCTCTGTGATGCACTTGGCATTAAAACAAATCAGACAGACCTGAGGGAAAAGAGTCATGCAGAAGGAGCAACAAGAAACTCCCTGGACAAGAGGAAGGTGGGTCTGGAGGTGAGGGCGGGACCGCCTTACTATCAGACTCTGTGTGTGGGGTAAGACCACTTCCAAGCCATCACACCAGGGTTTCTGCTGGATTCTAGTTTCCATGAATTAGAACGGGAAGAATAGGTCCTCGAGCGCCGGCCAGTGTGCAAGCATGGGGTGCTCCACGTGTTCTCCTCCTGGGTCCTCAAGCCTCTGAGACAGGGGCTCCAGGGTAGGTTTTCCAAAGAAACAAGTTTAGGGAGGTTGCGTTTCTTTCAAAAAAGTAAATGTGCTTGGGATTTCTGTTGAGGACTGTCTCAAAGAGCTGAGCTCTCTTAAGACATCTGAAAACTAGGGCTCAAAATGATCAAGAGAAATGACTATTTTGACTTTATGTAACTAATTTTTTGGCAGCTTAGAGCATTACTATTGAGGCACCAACATTAAATTCTAATACAGTTATGATAGTGCTGTATTTTGGAGTCATGCTCACATTTTTCAAAGTTTCCTAAGTTATTCAATATTTATCTAGTTAGAGGTATTGCCCGGTTAAAAAAATTGCAAAGACTTGTTATTTATCAAAGTGTTTTTCCTGAACTATTAACATGTGATGGAAACTATTTAAGTGACAATAAAAAGGTGCTAGCTAAAGAATAAGGCTGTGCCTAAGCTGCACAGGCCCTGTTGTAGGTTCTCAACTGGAGGGCCCGGGCGGCGGTGGGGGGAGGGGTGTGCTGGAATAGGGCTTCTCGAAGTGGGTGTGGGACTAGCAGCACCAGCAAACCCGTGGGCCTGCTGAGTCAGAACCTCAGGTTAAAGATGCAGTTTGTATAACATGCAACACAAAATTCACCCTTTTGAAGGACACGATTCAACAGCTTTTAGTATGTTCAGAGTTGGGCACCATCATCACTAATTTCAAAGTATTTTTCATCACCAGCTGTCTGGGTTCAAACAGGTGATCCTCATGCATGTTCAGGTTTGAGAACCACCTGCATACGTGCTCCCTACAACTGTTACTTAAAGATAACCTACTAAAAATACCCTTTGGGCCCATTTCGGGGAGAAACAGTGATTGTCGGAATTGCCGGGAACCGTGCGAGCCTGTGTGGGTAGCCTTGTCTCACTTCAACGTCACTGCGTCCCAGGAAGGTAAGTGGTGATTCCGCCTGAGGAAACCCAGGCCCAGGGTTTAGATAACGTGTCTAAGGTGACGTTCGTTGGTTTCTTGAATTGGCTAAAATCTTTTGAGCAAAGTTGTTTATTCGAAATACCAAAGTTCACTAAAAACCATGGTTATTTCAAACTGAGCAACCTAGTTGTTTTATTAAAGTCAGATTCCAAGATGAAAGACCCTTAATCCACAAATCAGAAAGAATATTTTGGTAACCTGTTGGTTTTATGTAGAGGTTACGTCAGGAGGCAATTCAGTGAAGCTGTAAGGAAAAGACAACACGATCCTTTTAACACCAGAAACAAGTATTTTCTCTTCCTCGTGTAAATTTTCCAGCTGTCCTTGTCGTTTTGATAATCAAGCACAAAGTACAGCATGTTTCCACGGTCGACGTGTGTATTTACAAGCGAACTGTACGTTAGTGTGGTTGAGTTACTTTACATTTCCCTCTCCTCCCTGTGTCACGTTTTTTTCTAAGCTAGGGCATGGCAGTAGTTCCTGAAAGTTCATCTAAGAACTGAAACAGCAATCAATAATGGCCTTTGAGAGTAGGCAATTGACAGGAATGATTTTATTGCAGGTAGCTTCCAAGGTGGAGACTTTCTCCCCAAATAGCTATTAAGCATTTTTCAGGTGACTGTTTTAAAAGGATTTCCCAATTACTTAGCAAGAAAGGGGTTTGACCTGCATGGCAGGGAAGTCGTCTTCACCTGCTAGACCCCTCCTTCCTAACCACAGGCTGCCCTTGGGTCAGAAAATTCTGGTGTTTCTAAGGCAGTGACTGTTTCCAAGACGTGTCATTGGTGTGCAGTCCCTTACTATATTCCTGAATGTGTGGACGTGTTCCTCTCAGACCCTCTTTTCCCTGCCCTCACTCTCCATTCTGTGACTGTGTCTTAAGCCTTACGCCCATCACCTGTGACGTAACACGTCCGCCCGTGGAAAGAGAAAGCCCGTTGAGTGAGTGGCCACCTGGTAGCTTACTGGAGCCTGCTGACACCTGAACTCGGGACTCCTGCCTCTACTCCAGTCACTTTTCCATTTCTGTGAGGGTTTTTCAAAAGGTTCTCTAGAAAAAACTTGGGAAATTCTACAGTACAACTGAAAGGGCAAATTGAGGTTCAATCACTACATTATCACTTTGCTGTAGTATCTGTGGAGTATTTAACCTGAAATGCCTATCACAGAAAAAAATATGTTCAGATTCATTAGAGGAAAACACAGAAGAAAAATAAATTTAATATCTAACATGCAAATCAACTTCCAAAAGAAACATGAAATAAAGCAAAGCTAACAGCCAACCACAAATACTGCCTAGAAATGATTTCTGCTAGACGTGGAGGATGGTTAATCAAGAAGCTATTGATAATGTTTATGGAAATGCCACTAAAAATTAGCATACTAATAATATAGTCAATGTATGCCAGCGGGGTGTATTTGCTAAAATATATTTTGTAGAAATCATGAGTTAAGCTTCAAAGTGGTGAAAAATCTCAACAGGTTTTCTTTGTAGATTTAATTACTCTCGCACGAAGACCTCATTTGGAAACCAAAGATGTCTACTTAGACCCAAACTGCCTGACCTACAAAGTGGGGCACTAAAGGACAATAGGAGGGAAGAATGACTGAGGCATCGGCTGCCCAGCACAGTTGGAGGTCACTGTTATTTTTGATCTACTGAGCTCAAAGACCGGAGTCGGAACAATAAAAATGCCTGACGTAGGAATCATAGAAAACTGTAAACACAAACTTTCCGCACACCTCTGTGGCTTCCTCCCTGTCCGAGGCTCCACCTGCTGTAGCGCTTTGAACCCACCCCCAGGCCACGCGGTGTTAAAGTCACCTGGCTTGTGTGTGTGGCCCAAGGAGGGCTGTGGTGGCCATTTGATCCAGGGGCTCAGAGAAAAGGCTCAAGGACTCCTTCTCCGCTGAGCACCAGGTCAGCATGAAGCCAGTCAGCAGAGGAAAAAGGAAAGGGCCCCCAGCAGGTACCTGCCACCTGATGCCCAGAGGTCATCTGCCCAGAGCGACAGTGGCACTCTGGCCATGGGCCTGGGGAGCGGCTCCCTTGGGGGGCTGCTGGTCCCTCCAAAGGCTACTTCCGTCCAAGCCCAAGGGCACGCGCATTTGCATACCTCGTCGAGTCTGTCCGGGAGGGTGGTTATTCACAAGAGCAGTACAGTAATTCTACTTTCTGCTGCAAGGACAGGAGCAAGGAACAGCAAGAGTCCAAGTGGTGGCAGAAGTACTTGGTTTTTGAAACTGGATATGAAACCAAATTCCAGCTAAATTGGAAAACTGAGGAAAATATCACAGTGAAACCTATTAAGTTCATTTAAAAGCTGGCAGATTTTAATATAGAAGCCTTTAAAGATTTTGGCCAACAATTTAAAACCACCATATTATGACACTGTAAAATATACATTTTTCGAAAGTCAGTCATTAGAGTCTAGCAACTGCATAGAGACATTCCAGGGGAATGGGGAAAAAAAGTTTTTACTTCATTCTTCAAAAGTCTTCTAACTAGTCTGTGATTAAAACAGCATAAATAGACCCTGGTTTGAGTCTAGCTAGATTCTCTGAGGGGAAAAAATATATTAGGAACAGGCCTTTGTGTCCTTACTGTCATTGCTCCCTGCAGACAGAAACCTAACTGCTGGTTTGTCCACACTCCTTAAAGTCTAAATGTTAACAATGACTTGACTCACAGGAAATCCCAGCCTCTCTGCAAGTTGACTTGGCTGTAGAGTATTCTGCTTCTTTTTGTTCTATTTCTGTTACTTGTGTTTTAAATAATATTCTTCTGAAATCGCGAGCCCTGTCTGCTTTCGCAGGCACCCGGAAGTTGCAGTGAGACATCAGGCTGTGAGACTAATGCCACCTGGACTCACAGGTGCTGAAAGAAGGGATGTGAATGGAGATGACACATCACTCCCATCAGAACCTCACAGCACGACATTTCTTTAAAAGAAAAAACCCCACAACTTTCTTCTGAATGTCCTAAAAAATGACACCAGGTTTCCTCAAAGGAAAGTTGTACGCTAACCCCAAATCCCACGGAAGACGTGTGTGCATGCCATGGTCTTCCCACACTGCCCACGAGGCAGGCGTGTGCCCAGAAAAACGTCAGATAGCTTTACAGGAAGAAAAA